TGGCAGGCTGGGGAAGGGCCCCCAAGAGCCGGCTGTGGGCTCGGAGGAGACTGGAAGACTGATAGGGCCACGGGGGCCTCTGCAGCAGTCCCCACCCTCAGTGCCCTGCTCCCAGGGCTGGCACCAGGACCCCAGGTAGTCTGGTGGGGGGCACTGATCTGCTTGGCATAGGTTCGAATTCCTACTGGTGAGCGAGGGTGGATGGGTTTCGTGCTCTGAGACGAGGACACGCTGTGGCGTGTCCTGTGGCTTTGGGCATGTCACTTAACTGCTCCGTGCCTCAATTTCCCTGCTGCTAAAACGGGACGGCCGAGGACTGCCTGCTGTGGGTGGTGAGGAGGGTTGCGAGGGGGGTGAATTGATGGGCCACATGGCCCAACGCAGCGGAAGTGCAGGTTGAAGTGGAGCGGAGGGCACGGAGCAGCTCCCCCAAGGTTTCTCTCTGCCTCTTGCTCCCTTCCCAGGCAGGAGGCTTTCCTAGTTAAACGCTGACCCAGATAAAGTGCCCCCCCCATGCTCCTTCCTGCTCCCCCTTCCCTCCGCGCAGCCGTGACTAGTTTAGTCTGGTTGGGCGCAGGCTGCCTGAGCTAAGGGCTTTTAAAATGGTGCCAGCTTTGGAGGGGTGGGTGCATGGATCCCTGCTGCTGCTGTAGGCTTTGGGATGCCCCATCTCCCTTCGGGGCCCCTTGCTTGCTTTTCCCCGCCGTGCAGCTGCCTGGGATCCAGGAGGCAGCTGTGCTGGCCTAAATCGCCCTCTGTCCCGGGCGTGTAGGGGCCCCTGCTCTCCTCTGACCCTTTGGGGCTGCTGGCATGGCAAGGGGGTGTCGGGAGCAGGCAGTGCCCTGACATCACGTCGTCTCGCCTCCTCTGTCTTTCAGGAAGCTGTCGGGCAAAGCCAGGATTGACGAGGTCATGGCTGCCGCGGTCCTCACCAGCCTGTCCACCAGCCCGCTAGTGCTCGCCAACCCACCCAGCGCCTTCAGCCCAGGTAACGACCAAGCCTGCAAAGGGCAGGGTCCGAGGTTGAACGTGAGGCACGCGCTGCTGCCCCGTGGGGTGACGCTACGGGGCATCCTGTGGGCCTGAGTCTACATCTAAGAGCATGCAGATGGTCCAGCTGGATTGGGCTCCCCTGTGCCCCCATGTCTGAGAGGGGCCAGCACCGTGCGCTTTGCTGGAAGGTGCAAGACCCCTGCAGGGGACCTCCGTCCTCAGCGCCTGGCTGCGGATGGGATGGGGGACTGGCAGGCACGTCCTGCGCCATCAGGTCTGGTGCCCTGCTGTTGTGGGCTTCCACGTCCCATCCCCTCACTCGCAGACTCGCTGAGCTCAGTCGTGCCTGACACGAGGACTGGGTGCAGTGCTTCTAGCCAGACCCGGGACCTCTGCTCCCTCCCCCTCCAGCGAGGTCCAGCATCTGGGCTGCACCAGGGCTTGGAGCTGAGGTGGGCCTGAGCTTCCTGTGAAATAAAGAAGCCTCTATCGAAATCGCTTCACTTGGCAGGGACAGAGGCATCTACCTGCCTCTGCCCAGGGCTGTTGTGGTGGTGTAACCTACCCCACGGGGGGTTGCTTGCCAGTAGGGTGGGGGCTATTGTGCCCCAGCTTTCCCCTTCCCTTTGCTTGGCCCCGAAGTTATCTCAGCCCCTAGGTTTCCAGGAAAGTGTTGGAGGGGATAAAACCTGACCCCTTTCTCTGCCCACTCCTGCGGCAGAGCCCGGCTGCGAGGCCTGGAAGGACGGTCCGGCCATGTCGTCCAGCTACAGCAGCAGCAGCAATAACAGCGGGGACTGGAGCTGGGACCTGCCGAGCGACCGCTCGACCCCGTCCACCCCCTCGCCTCCGCTTCCCAGCGATGCTGCCAAGAGCTTCCTGCCGGCCGCCCCGCTGGATGACAGCACGGAGGAGACCGAGGCGACCCACTTCCTCTTCGGCGATCCCATCCCACGGAAGAGGAAGGTAGGGGGACAGTAGGCGCTGGTACAGCGAGGAGGGGATGGGAGCAGCCTGCCAGGGGTCCTCCTTTGGCAGGAAGAGCTGCTCAAACCACTAGACTGCATCTCCTTCCTCCACCCAGGCTGGGGGTTCATGTCACTGCCCAGGCGAGGGCCTTTGGGTGGGGTGGGCTCTGAGGGAGAGCCGCGAGCCTCACGGGCTCTGTCTCTGCCCCTGCAGAACTCCACCAAGGTCATGTTCAAGTGCTTGTGGAAGAGCTGCGGCAAGGTGCTCAGCAGCTCCTCAGGGATGCAGAAGCACATCCGGATTGTCCACCTCGGGTAGGTGCAGGGGCCGCCGGCGCCGGGGGAACTTGGAGGGGGTCAGTGGTGTTTCCCCCAGGCTGTGCGGAGCTCCCTGCTCTGTTTCCAGAGGGGCTTCCCTCCCTTCTTGGATCTCTCGCATGCTTGGCTGGCAGCTCGCAGTGCTCCTCCTGCCTTTGCGCCCTCCGCTCTGGAGCCCTGTCTGGCTGGAAAGAAGTCCCGTCATCTGCTCCTAGAGAGCTCTGAGCTGTCCTGTCCCCAGGCCCCAGCACCGCCTCTCTCTTGCTGCCGTTACTGGGCTGTCCAGACGTGTTCGCAGCTGCCAGCCTGGGACCCGCAAAGGCAGGGGTTGCCTCCGACACCCGTCTCTGTTCTCCCTCACCCAGTCGGAAAGCTGACCTGGACCAGAGCGATGGCGAGGAGGACTTCTACTACACGGAGCTGGATGTCAACGTGGACTCCCTGACGGATGGGCTATCCAGCCTCACCCCCGTGTCCCCCACCTCCTCGGTGCCCCCGGCCTTCCCCGTCCCGGAGGTGCAGACTGCGCCGCCCCTTCTGGTGAAACCCGAGGTCTCCCTGGTGTCTCCCCTCAGCCACTCGGCGCCCACAAACTTGTGCCACGTCCAAACTGACCACGCCTATCAGGTGAGCTGCATGGGGAGGGACGGGCTGGGCGTGGGTGGGAAGGGCTGGGAGGTCAAAGGCAAAACACCACGGGGCATTGCCCAGATCAGCGTGCGGCTGCCTCCTGCCTTGGTCCTGGCTCGGAGGGGCTCTTGGGCAGGGAGTATTTTCCATGTGCTGCTGGAGCCCCAGACCCTACTCGGCAAACTTCAACGAGCCTTTGCAGCTGGCACTTGTGTCTGCTTCCACCCATGCAGGCTGGGGAACATCTGTGTCCTTGCTCCGTGCTGCAGACTCAGCTGCACGGCTGTAAACTCTTTGGTGGGGGTGTTGGCAAGGAGTTGCCCTTGCTGACCACGGGCACCTGTGGGACTCGCCACTGCAAGAACCAACTCGCTCGTTCTGGGCTCCTAGCTTTTCTCTCGTCCGGTGGGCTGGAGCGAGGCTGGCCAGTGGTGGGAGGGTTTGCTCCCAGCTTTGTGCCCATGAGCAGGGTGGCAGGAGCCTGCCCATGTGATCTGAATCCAGGAGAGTGCTTGTAAAAACGTGGGGGAAGTCAAAGACCAGCGGAGAGGATAGGCAGAGAGAGGGCACGCGACGGAGTCCCGGAGCTGCGCCAGGACCCGGGATGGACGTTCAAAGGGCCGGCGCTCGCTGGCTGGGCTTGGGGAAGAGGCCTTCCTAGCCCGCTGCGTGCAGTATTCGGGGGCTGCGACTCTTTCCTTGCCAGCGCCTCTCGCGTGTCAGTGGGACACCGGAGCAGCAGAACAGCCCCTGTGTCGCCGCACACCTGGCTCTGCCTGTGCAAACCCAAACGGCCAGTGTCAGGAAGGGCCGAAGGGCTTTCCATGCCCAGCTCCAGATGGACTTGGATCCCTCCCCATCCCACCGAGGTGCCGCAGAGGCTTGTATTGAGCTCTGCAGGGCACCGTGGCCTGTGAGGCCTGCTCAGCCTAGACAGGCTGCCATCCCCTCTGCCCCCGCGCTGTTCCCACCGGGGCTTTGCCGGGTGTTGCTGCTGGCGAAGTGGCCTGTTGCCTTCTGGGGCTGTGGGGGCAAGACCTTCCCTCCCTCCCTCCTGCACCCCTTCCCAGCTCTCCCTGGCCACACAGTGCCCAGATGTCTCATCCTTTGCCGGTTACATTTGTGGCTTTCAGGCAACGGCTCCTGTGAGCATCTCGGCCGTCTCGAAAACCCTGCCCGGTGGGTTGGGATTCAGCATCTCCTGGCAGCAGCCATCGCCACAGGCACCGGTTGTTTTTAAAGGGTCCCCGGTGAGTAAGCAGATGGCACCCTCTCCCCTCCGCAGGGCCTGGCTGGCAGGGAAGAGTAGGCCAGGCTTTCCGGCTGGCTGCATTAGTGGGAGGTGCAGGCACTGCAGTGAACGCACCCTTGAGTGGCTCAAAGTGCTGCCCGGGACCCGTGGGGCTCCTGTTCTGGGGTGCCGGCACGGTGTGCACTCAGAGCGGGGTGCTCCGCGTCCATCAGGAAAGTGCCAGCAGCTTGGCCAGGAGGATTCAGCAGTGGTCAGTGCCCAAACCTGTGGAGGTTTGCACTTTGCCTCTCTCTGCAGCCCGAGCTGAGTTTCACAGAAGCCGCTGAGCTTTTGCAGGGGGGTGCGGTTCCTATCTGCGCCCCCCAGACCAGGAGGGCTGGCGTTGCTTGGACCAGCGACCTGTTTGTGTTCAGAACTGTCATGCTTCAGGGCAGAGGTGCCCAAGTCCCATGTTAGGCAAACTGGGCTTGGCTTCATGGTGTGGCTGGCGATGCACTGGGCAGGGGTGCGTTGCGGTGTAAGAAGTGCAAGAGGGTCAGAGGAAGAAGGCTGGGCTAAGACTTGGCCCCTGCCAGCTGGCCTGGACCCTCGGGTCTGATCTGTGATACTCACACTAGTGCAGCACTGTCTGCCGAGGGAGCTCGGGGCTCCTTTGAGGCAGGTGGTGGTCTCCGCCTGGGGCAGAGCTGGGAGAAGAACCCGGGAGTCCCTGCTGTCGTCGCCAGCCTTAGGAGCTGGGAGGTAGGATGCTAGAGCACCGGGGTTGGACTCCGGAGGTCACGACTAGTCCAACCCCTGCCGGAGGCAGGATCATCTAATCTAGCAGAGCATCTGATCTGTAGGATCCTGGGTGGGACCTGGAGTGGTCCCCAACCTCCTGGGCACAGCTGCTGTGGCTCTGTTCTAGGCTTGCTTTCCCTGCTGCCATCAGCCCACGTCCCTGCTTGCCTGGTGCCGCCTCCTGCTTGGGGAGGGAGGGGGCGTCGGCGTCGGCTGGAGGATGGAGCAGACCCCATCTTCCTCCAGCCCTAGCCAGCTCTGGCTGCCCCGTGAATCGCACACAGCGGTGAGGTGTCGGGACATGGGCCGCGTCCTCCGGGTCCTACCCTGCAGGCAGTCACTGCTGAGCTGCATCCCTGGGCTGCAGATTTCTCCTCTGTGCCGTGCTCTCGCTGGCTGTGGCTGCTCGGTTTTTCAGGCGGGAGCTTTGCCCTTCTGTGTGCACAGACCTGTGTTGCTACCCTGGATTCAGTCCGTACCATCAGCCCGGCCTTGGCAGCGGTCTGCCCACATGCGCCATCCGTGCCCCGGTCTCACGGTGGATTGTTCTCCTCAGGGCTGCCTGACTGCGATCCGGCCCGTTGGAGTGGGAGACAAGCGGCCGCAGATCCCCCACCTGCCCGTCATCAAGCCGCATGTGCCAGCGGCCCCCGCTGCGCCGAAGCCAGCCTCCGGGACGAGGTGAGTTGAGATGCTGCCAGCGGGAACTAACGTGTTCCTTCCTCCGTGACTGCAGCTGGAAGCCACCTCATGGCTATTTGACACGGTGGCTCCAGCAATAAGCCACCCCTGATGCTTCCTCAGCCGGCCGTGTCTGCCAGCCTGCGGAGGACCCGCATCCATGGGCAGCTGGATGCCTCAGGTGTGTGAGCTTTCCATCTTACCCAGCCCCAGCTGCAGGTGGGCAGGAAGCTGCTTGGGCCCACGGCCGCAGGTCACAGCGCCGTCCCCATGCTCTCTCCACCCCCAGACGGCAGTCCTGGGCCACGGGGCAGCCTTGGGCAGGGCTGATGCCTTGTCCCTGGCCGTGTGTGATTTGGGGAGTGTGGGGCAGAAATTGCAGTTGGCCACCAATGCTGGTCTCGGGCCTCAAGGAAAGAGCCCGCTGGCCTGCACTAACGATCCTGGAGGCCAGGCCTGATGTGTAGTGCTCGCTGCAGTGGTGTCAGGTGAACGCACATCGGTGTCTCTGGGGCAGCTGGGCTCAGGGAGGCAGGGGCCGCGTGGGCATTGAGGACCGGCTTCCTCCTGGACGTGTACTGCTTCGCTTGTCACTGCCGTTGGCACGTTCCAGAGGCAGAGGTCCAGCCCTTTCGGCTGCCCCTGTGACGAGAGGAGTGAGGCTGGGAGGGGACCCGGCTATGGGGAAGGCCTCCTGTGCAGATGTCCTTGACGTGCAGCCGTGCCAGGAGCTGGCAGGCTTGCACTAATGCGCATCACGGCAGGGTTCGGTCCTCAGGGTCTGGCGCACCCAGGGCCACTGCCTTTTGCCTGGGGGAGCTGATGCCCAGCCGCGGTGGTGCATCGCCCCCCACCCCTGTGGCTTCACTGCGGCCAGGGCTCTGGAAGGCTGCAAAACGTCCTTGCAAGGGCAGAGGAGGGGAAAGCACAGGTCTCAAACCAGCCACCTCTGCCACGGCTGGGGGAGGCTCTGGCATTGGTCCCCACCTCTGGCGCCAAGAGCTGGACTCGCAGCCCTGACTGATGGGCCTTGCTGTTCTCTCCTAGGAAACCCCGTGGGGAGGCCAAGAAGTGCCGCAAGGTGTACGGCATGGAGAACCGGGACATGTGGTGCACGGCGTGCCGGTGGAAGAAAGCCTGCCAGCGGTTCGTCGACTGAGCAGCGCCCTGCTGGGACCTCCGGGCTCTGGGAAGTCAGCAGCGACTCCTCTTCCTCCTCCTCCTTGCACAATTTTTTTTTTTTTTTTCCTTTTGCACTTCAAGTGCCTTTGGAGCCTCGACTCCTGCTCCCTGCCCCCCGGGGGCCTTGACAGCAACGGGCCAGACTCGGGGAAGGGAGCCCTTGGCCTGGCACTGCCCTGAGGAGCCGGAGAGGACAGAGCGGGCGTGAAAGGACGTGGGGGGGTCCTCTAAAAAGGAGGAACGTGCGCAGCGGCGGCCAGGCTCGCAGCCTCTCGTGGGCTGGGCCCTAGCCGCGTTCTTCCCCTTGCGCCCCATCTCTCCCTGCCCGCGTCCAGCCTCGGCCTGGCAGAAGCTTTATGTGCACGCGCTCGCTGACACCCCCGAGCTCCTTTTCTCTTTCCTTTCAGATAAGCTATTTCCTCCTTCCACGTTTCTGCCACTACGTTCCCACTCCTCCTCCTGCCCGGGTGCCTTTAAGGAGCCAGTCGGCACAGCTGGGGGGGTCTATCTGGCTTTGGAGACTGCTGGCTCAGGCTGGGAGACGGGGACGCTGCAGCCCTTCGGAAGGGAGGAGAATAGACCTGGGTCTGCTGGCTCTTCAGGTGGGGAGGGGAGATGGCCCCTTGCCTTCCTGGCTGTAATTTTGCTTTGGAGCCTTGTCCTACTTCCATCGTTGAAAGCGGAAGAACGCACCCGACGCAGCCTCGTGTTCGGCGGCGTCTCTTCCGAATCTCTGGGTTTCGAGGAGCCGGGATCTCCCCCATCCCCGCGGGGAGCCCTGTGGGCAGACGGGGCACGTCACAAGGCCCTGGGGCGGGTCGGGCAAGACCCGGCTGCGCCTGCGAGAGCTCGTCTCCTTTTCCCGCTGTGCTTTTCCACCTGGATCAGCAGCAGCCCCATGGCTCCCTTTGCCCCGTCCCTTCCCCTTCCCCCTCGGTGTGTGGATCGGGGGGCACCAAGGGCTGAGGCGGCGCCTGGTCGCCTCCCACTCCCCAGGGTGAGGTTGTTGGTTTTTTTTAGACTTTGTAACTTTTAAAAAAAAAAAAAAAAAAAAAAAAGAAAAAAAGAAAAGAAAAAGGAGGGGTTGCCCTGCCCTGTCCTGTCCTGTCCGTGCAGGGTTTGGGGGCGCCGCTCCAGGAAGTGCCTGAGTCAAGTCGCCCATTTGCACTAAGTCAAACTGCACAAAGAGGTTTCTTTTTTTTCTTTTCTTTGTGTGTGTTTCTTTTTTTTTAAATAAAATCTATTGCCCAGCTGGATTTTAAATACTTCCCCCAGGACCTGCCAGAGAGAGGGAGGGAGGGCCAAAAGCCCCATCCCTTCCTCTCCCAACCCATGCCTCCTTGCTTCTATATTTTTTTTAAGGACTACATTTCCCAGAATCCTCTTCTCTCCCAGGTTCCCCCCTATACCCCAAATTTTAGCACCCTCCCCCTGGTTTTCTAAGCAGGCAGCACTCGTGACCGGGAAGCAGAGCGCCCACCTTGAGCGCGGTTTTAACCTGCCCAACAACGGTCTCGACTGCGGGGGTGCGGAGAGTCCAGTGGTGTTTGCTCACGTTTGAGGTCCCCCCCACCCCAAGCCTTCTTCCCAAAAACGGTCCATTGTGAACGCCTGGATGTGTGCGTGCATGTCTGTGTGGCCCGATATCTTTATTTTTTTTGTCGAGCCGTCGTTTGGGTTCTTGTAGCGTGGCCGGGTCCTGTGATTCACTTGGTTTTGTTACTGATCCGACTGCTGCCTGCCGGGGTCCGGGCAGGAAAGCCCCTGTTCTCTGAATGTATTAATGAAGGTCCGTTTGCTGCTGGAGCCCGCGGTGGTGATGTGTGTTCTGTGCGGTGAAGGGGCCCGGGCTCCTCTTAGGCAAGGTCCTCAACGTCTGCCCCAGCATGCGGCAGAGACGGTTTGGGGCCCGGAGTTTGTGCAGTCAGTAGCTGCGCAGTCTCTTTAGTGCCAGCTGTGGAGGG